CTGTCCTTGGAGGTTCTCTGTGGCTTGGTTGGTCAAACCTGGAGGCGGGGCTGCCATTGACCGTGAGCCGCCTGGCCCTCTGGCAGGACTGGGCCACCCCCACCTGTCTGAGGGTGGTGCCTTGTCAGAGACAGGTTTAACCTGCTTTGCCCCACCCCTTCCCACCTGCTTGTCCCACTCCACCAGGTGTTTGCTCTGGCCTCACTCCAGACTCCCGGGAGTGTGATGTGATGGGGGCTTGGGTGATATGTGACTGCCTTCATTTGGCCTGAGGAAGGTGACAGTGGCTGGGGTTGAAGGGGGACACAGTCAGGTCCAACAGGCGTGGCCACTTTCTTCCAGGTAGGGTAGGGCCCAACATCTGGCTGAACCAGCTTTGCAGCCTGTTCCCTCCTTCCCTGCCCCCACAGCTGTGAATCTGTCTGACTCTCCCCACTTCCTATCCCAGTTCTCACAGCTGGTGAGCGGGGATGTGGCTCTGCTGGGCGGGGGCCCCTACACTCTCTGCACTGATGGGCAGCAGCTGTTGCGACAGGTCCTGCACCCCGAGGCTTCCAGAAAGGTATGCCACTGAGGACACAACAAGAACAGGGTTTCTAGGACCCGTCATGTCATGGGGGCTGGGGGTAGGCAGGCTAACCCAGGATCTCATTCATCCCCACTCCCGTGTGCCCCTAGAACCTGGTGCTCCCCGACACCTTCTTCTCCTTCTACGACCTTCGCAGAGAGTTCCATGTGCAGCACCCAAGCACCTGCCCTGCCAGGGACCTCACTGTGGCCACCATGGCACAGGGTATCTGTGACCCAGCAGGGTTAGGGTGGAGGGCAGCTGTGGGCTGTATGTGTGTAAGTTTGTGGTACAAGTTTGCATTAGCCACTGCCTCCTTGAGTGCACCTCTGTCTGTGTGCTGACGCATTTGGAGTGTGGGCATATGTCTATATATGTCTAGGCTGGGGACCTGGAAAGGCAAACCCAAGCTGAGCCAAAACAAGTGTTTGCTGGGGTTTGCATCTGTGTAAGGGGTGTGAGCCCGGGGTGGCTGGGATTAGTGCTCATTCATGGCTTGGGCCCAGGGTCTCCTGCTGGGGTTTCTTCATTGTTCTTTCTCTGCCTATAGACTTGGGGCTTGAGACAGATGCCACAGAGGATGACTTTGGGGTCTGGGAAGTGAAGACAATGGTAGCTGTCATCCTCCACCTGCTGGAAGGGTCCAGTGGTAAGATTTCCCTCACTACCTGCTCTCAGAGAGGACTGGGTCAGTGCCTGCTTTTTCCTCAAAGTTCTCCCCACTTCTTGCTACCTTCTCTAAGAGACCACAAGGTGAGAGCCCTTATGTCACCTCCTCCCCCTCAACTGTCCTCTTTTTGCAGAGCTTGGTGGGGAAATTCCACCCTCCACCAGACCCTGCTGACCCCCATGCCATCTCCTCTCAGGTCAATTGTTCTCGAAGCCTGAGGTGGTAAAGCAGAAATATGAGACTGGGCCTTGGTGAGTGTGGGGCTGGGGAAGGGGTGACGGCAGCTGGACAGCTCTGACCTTGTGCCCTGCCCCCACAGCAGCAAGACGGATGTGGTGGACAGTGAGACTGTAGTTCGGGCCCGTGGGTTGCCCTGGCAGTCATCAGACCAGGACGTGGCTCGCTTCTTCAAAGGGCTCAACGTTGCCAGGTTGGTGGGGCAGGGTGGGTGGGCCCGGGAGGACAGGCTAACCCTGGAGGCACTAACACAGCACTGGCTCCACAGGGGCGGTGTGGCACTCTGCCTCAACGCCCAGGGCCGCAGGAATGGCGAGGCCCTCATCCGCTTTGTGGACAGCGAACAGCGGGACCTAGCCCTGCAGAGACACAAGCACCACATGGGTGTCCGCTATATTGAGGTGGGGCTTTAGGCCGGGAGTGGAGCTGGGCAGAGCTGAGCCAGGCCTGAGACCCATGGGCTCTTCTCACTGTACCCACAGGTATATAAAGCAACAGGAGAGGAGTTTGTCAAGATTGCAGGGGGTGAGTGTGCTCTCAGCAACATCTGGTTCCCTTAGTCCTTGACCCGGGTCCTACCTCCCCATCTCTTGCTTTTCTGCTTTCCTGTGTGCTGGTGGCATGTGGGTGTTTGAAAGGTCATGAAGTCAGCAGGTGCCTCTCACACTGACTCCCAACCCCCATCCCATCCCTCCCCAAGGCACATCACTAGAGGTGGCTCGTTTCCTGTCACGGGAAGACCAAGTGATCCTGCGGCTGCGGGGACTGCCCTTCTCCGCTGGCCCAGCAGACGTGTTGAGCTTCCTGGGGCCAGAGTGCCCAGTGACCGGTGGTGCCGACGGGCTGCTCTTTGTGCGCCACCCTGATGGCCGGCCCACGGGTGACGCCTTTGCCCTCTTTGCCTGTGAGGAGCTGGCACAGGCAGCACTGCGTAGGCACAAGGGCATGCTGGGTAAGCGATACATTGAACTCTTTCGGAGCACAGCAGCTGAGGTGCAGCAGGTGAGCACCCTGATGTCCCTCTAGCCCTAGCCCTTTCCATTCCGTGTCCCTGTCCTACTTAACATGACCAGCTTGCCGCTGCCTGCTTTCCTAGGTCCTGAACCGTTATGCCTCCGGCCCCCTCCTCCCCACACTGACCGCTCCCCTGCTGCCCATCCCCTTTCCACTGGCAGCTGGGACTGGGAGAGATTGTGTCCGCCTCCGAGGTCTGCCGTATACAGCCACCATTGAAGACATCCTGAGTTTCCTGGGGGAGGCAGCAGCTGACATCCGCCCCCATGGTGTGCACATGGTGCTCAATCAGCAGGTGAGGCTGTTGCCATTTGGGGGATGGGGGTGAGGACTCCCAGCTAGGGTGGCGTGTGTGGCTGGGAGTAAGGCACTTTTGCACATGACAGACTGCTGACAAGACAGTGTGCACAGGGTCGGCCATCGGGTGATGCCTTCATCCAGATGACATCAGCAGAGCGGGCCCTAGCTGCTGCTCAGCGTTGCCATAAGAAAATGATGAAGGAACGCTACGTGGAGGTGGTCCCTTGCTCCACAGAGGAAATGAGCCGTGTGCTGATGGGGGGCACCTTGGGCCGCAGTGGCATGTCCCCTCCACCCTGCAAGTTGCCCTGTGAGTGTCCCAGGGGGGCCGGGGGAGGCCTGTGGGGGCCAGGCTGTCACAGCCCCCTCTTTCTACAATGGGGATTCCTTTCTGGCTAGTTGCCCAGGACAATGCCCGGCACCATGCAGATGCACTCTCTGCTTCTGACTCTAGGCCTCTCACCGCCAGCCTACGCCACCTTCCAGGCCACCCCAACACTCATTCCCACTGAGACGGCAGCTCTATATCCCTCTTCAGCACTGCTCCAGACGGCCAGGGTACCTGCTGCCCCCACACCGATTGCCTACTACCCTGGGCCAGCCACTCAACTCTACATGAACTACACAGCTTACTACCCCAGGTACCCTGCTGCTAAGGGAACTCCACATTCGAGCCCCCGTCCTATTCTGGGGGAGGGCTGTGATCTCCTACCTGGACCAGCTGATGCGAGGTCAGAGCTTGGACTTCACTCTGAAATGACAAGGGAGTGAGAGGTGTGGGCTGACTGATGGCATCTATAAACCAGAATGGAGAGGACTCTAGAGGCAAGGGTTTCAGGAAGGAACAACTGAACTAAGCACAAGGCAAAGAAAGGAAAGACGGGTCTTGGCCGTAGTGGGACTGTGTAACTAAAACCCTTGCCTCTCCTCTCTTAGCCCCCCCGTCTCCCCCACCACAGTGGGCTACCTCACCACCCCCCCTGCTGCCCTGGCCTCTGCTCCTACCTCAGTGTTGTCCCAGCCTGGAGCCCTGGTCCGGATGCAGGGTGTCCCATACACAGCTGGTATGAAGGATCTGCTCAGCGTTTTCCAGGCCTACCAGGTGAGGTGCTGCTAGAGCCTGGGGGCCTGACTTAACCTGGAGCCCCCTGACCTAACCTCCTGTGCCTTTTATAGCTAACGCCTGATGACTACACCAGTCTGATGCCTGTTGGTGACCCACCTCGCACTGTGTTACAAGCCCCCAAAGAATGGGTGTGTTTGTAGGTGAGAGAGCCAGGAGGTAAGAGCTGGCTGATACCTCAGCTAACTTGTCTCTCCTGCAGCCAGAGGACCAGCGCCCTCAATCCAGTGGCTTCTTTCTGGCTTGTCAAAGTTCTCCAGAGACACCCAGGAGCCCAAGCCCCAGCTCCATCCCTCAATTATTGTTCTGCGTGTTCACCCCGAAGATGATGGCTGGACCCTGCATCAAGGGTTGGGGGTGGAATGGTGCTACCCTGCTCCCGATGGCCTGATCTGGGCCTTTTGAGTAGCACACAGAGACTTTGGTCTGTTCTGGCTATGGCCCGTGTCCATAGATTCTGTGGGGTTCACAGCTCCACAGCAGGCTTGCTTTCTTTTTAAAAATGTAAGCGCTGGTAACTTCAGTGACTACTGGGAGCTTCTGGATAAAGATCCCAGTGTTCTACCTTTTTTGTCCTTTCCTGTAAGGGGCAGGGAGGCAAACAGTGCTGGCCCCAGCACCCTGGACCTCAGCAGCCACATTGTGCCAAGGGTGGTCCTATGTAAGGATACACCAGTCCACCTGCAGCTTGGTACAAGGAATATCAGATGGCAAAAATCACAGGGTACTTTGAGGAACTGTGCTGCAGTATTTCCAGCGGACAGTAGGGGGCAGGAGGCCCTCACACAAAAACTCAGGCTTGAATTTTAAAGGGGATTTTCTGCCTAATTTTCATGTGCACATCTTGGGCAGGCCAGTTGTCTGAACTCAGCAGACATTGTGGAATGTCCTTTGCATCCATTAGAGGGTGCAGAACTGAAGCTTTGGAAAGAGTTTGGCACTCTACCCTTTCCTTCATAAAATAAAACAGATTCCTAACCAAGTGGAATTTTTTTAAAGTGGAAGTACCCTACCATTTTGGCCCCCAGCGTGAGGGGTACCACACCAGCCCCAGGTGGAGGAAAACTCAGGCGATTTCAAGGACACTGTTGACCTGTCAACTGTTTATTTCAGCACTGTAATTGAGGAGCCTGAATTTCTGACTCTTCCCTTTGTATTTGTGTATGGAGCACTGTGCTCCTATAAAAGATTTTAAAATACAAAATGTACAAGAAAACACAATTCCAAGTGCTGTAAACATTACCAAGAACCAGATTCTTAACTGAACATCATTCATTCTATAAAATACAAGGTTTCAACTTGAGCCCTTCTGCGAGATCACCATCTGTTCTGAAGACCCGAAATGGGCTTCACAGCCAGACCCAGCCAGCTCAGGTGACAGTGGCTAGCCTCAGGAAGGGATGGGCTACACCCTAGGGTAGCAGTACCACACGTGAACCCAAAATATGTTACTTTTAAAGTTGTCTTTGTGTTTCTAAATCATGTCCAGTAAGCAGAAGGCTGCTCATCCCATTCTCAGCCCAAGGTCTAGTGTGGGCTGGAGAGATAATGGTGGGTGTCAGCACGTGCCCAGTTGCTTGGTGCTGCTACTAGAAGTCAATTTGCATAGTCCCATGGATGTGTGCTTCAACAACACAATGTTGCACAAAAGTCTTTATCTACAAAGCCAAAAAATATTGACTCTTACACCAAAGCTTTTAAAAAGCTGATACAAAACTGCTTACATAATATACAAAGCTCTATTTTAAAATTTAACTTTTATTTTAAATAGGAAAGCATTTCTAGTGCTACAGGCATCAAGGTATTTAAAAGGCATCAAAATTTGGTGCATAGCAACTCTGGATCATAGAGGCTTTTATTCATTAGGGCAGCAGAGCAACCCCCAAAGGGTCTTGAAGGGGAACTCTTGCAAGAACCCCATGTGAGGCAGCTATAGCAGGGGCCAGAAGGGAGTTAAGAGGCTATGATGGCCAGCATTATGAAACTTGATCTCCGAGGCCAGCCACCACCCCCACCAGGCTTCCAACTACAGGCCCTGAAGCAACTTTCACTATCCACACTCTGACACAAAACTTTCAAAGAAAACACAAAAAGACCCAGCTCCAAGTGTTTGGAGTAATATTACAGAGTAATTTGCTAAAGGTAACATGTTTTTTTTCTAACTAGTTTTGAGGGAAGAAAGCTAAAACATGTTTTTTATTTGTCTACTTACTTTTTTTCAAAAACCATGTTTCCTTATCCTGGGTCAACAGCTACTACCTGGCTGTTGACTAGAGGTGGTGGGCAATGAGCTCCCTCCACCGTGGCCTCAGTAGAGTCTGGCATGTAGGACTCAATCTCCTGAAATAACAACATCAAGCCTTTGACCAGCCCAGCACACTGTCTCACATGCAGGCACTCAAAAATTTGCTTCTTGAACAAGTGAAAGTACATCATTTCAACATGAAAACATACTGCAAATTTCAAGGACTTTGAAATAGGCCCAAGTCCCGAAACAGGTAACTTGTGCCATTATAAGGGAGGGGTAGGGTGGTGGTTGAAAAAAGCACCCATTTGGGCACCTCTTTGGTAGACAGCAGGCTGGAGTTCCTTGCTGGCCCCTGCCTTGGGTGCCAGCTTCACCAGCAGCAGCACCACGATATCTTTGGTGTGGAGAGTCAAGTCTATGATGCTACCTCATCTCTGGATTTGCCTGAAAGCCTTTTTGGGAAAAGGCTGAATATTAAGCTATGCAGATAGGGCAGGGTAGGCCAGAATCATTTTAGGCTGTAAACAAAGTAAGCCTTCCATGCCAGTGTCAATCTTAAAAATGCCACATCTGAAGTCCTCCCATATTTCTCTATTGTCATGATGCAAATCTCATTTGTGCTTAGCTCTTGCCAGAGTCTGGCCTCTGTAGATGAATTGGAACTGGCAAAGCTGTCTGAACTATCATGAGACTGTGGCTTCAAAGGTTAAGAGAGCAGCCAAATGTATTTGCTCCCACCTGGAAAAGGTCTGGGGCCGGAGGACACACCTACCGGAAGACCACTCCACAGCCTACTTGTTTGTAGGATGGCAGGAAATGAGGCTACCAAGCTAAAAACCCTACCTTTCAAAGCCACCTTTCATGCAGCTATTTTACTCAAGGCCCTGAGGGAAAAAAGCAACTTCAACATGGAGTCAATATGGAGAGATTGCAGGAAGATTACCTAGAAAGTTACAAAAAGGCTATGCTCTGGAATGTCTTTTTATATTCCAACACTTCAATGATTGGAATGATCTCATGTTATCTAAAAGTTACTTTTATAAAGAGATATGAGCTACATTTGGCTTTATTTCCTATGAATCTATGAAAGGCTTCAGGACACATGCTGAGCTTCTGAGGCATAGTGTGGGGCTTGGAGAATTTTTTTCTTTTTTGTTTGCCTCTGGAAAGTTTTATCAAAAGTTCCTATTTAAAAAATATCAAAGCTAAAGGGTCCTTCAAATGACCATAGAGCAGTACAAATCACCAATCCTAGTTAAGCAACAGGTCACCTGCAAAAGCAGCACCTCTGAAATGAGTCCGCTGCAGTCACACTCAAAGCACCCATCATATAAAAGTATCCTATTTAAATATAAAAAGCAAAGCTCAAACAGCCTATGGGGCTCCTGTTTTACAAAATCTACCCAAGGCCTGAAGTGGAGGAATGCTGCTTCTCCACAAAATGATCCCAACTCCTGGCATCAGTCCTGAAGTCTGCAGAGTTGGAAATCCAAGGTCCAAGGAGAGAAACATGCCGAGAAGTACATGGTGGTGGGCACAAGGCTGCAGTGAGCAATGTCAGAGTCCATCAGCTCTTCCTAAATCCAGGGACTCAGGATTTGGGAGGGGAGCCTGCCTGCTCCCCCCTGTTCCACGGGAGACAGAAATCTGAGACATGTCTCTCCCAATTATCTCGTTCACTGAAAAACAAGAAACAGGAGAGTGATTAGTGACCTCTGCTGAATGACCATATGATGCTCAATACTAATTCTACTTCGAAGAGATTTCCTCTCCATGGTTGCTATAAAGGTAATGGTAGTGCATGAAGCCAGCTCCTGAGCTGAATGGGAACATCTTTCCATAGGCTGCACCAAACCTCTCTTTCCCCCTTTCAGTTCAGTTTAGGCTGGAAAGGGGATGTGTAGTTGAGTGAACAGAAGAGATCAGGACATTCTTACCTCTAAAGGTTTATGCTTAGAGCAGAAGACAAGATACAGTTAAAATTAAGTGTTCAGGGCCCTCCCTGGTGGTGCAGCGGGTTAAAGCACAGCACTGAGAATCTAAAGCCGCTTCCGCATGAGTTCGATTCCCGCCTGCCCCGGAGGTGACCACATGGCATGGCAGACCTCTCCTGGCCCGCCCGCTGCTCCCCTCAGCAGTGTACTTGGTCGATCTGCCTGTTCTGTACCCCACTCTGTCTCTGGTGAAGCCTCTCACCGCCCCTGAGACTCTGGCCTGTACCCCAGTTCTGTATGCACAATAAATAAATCTTTAAAAAAAAAAAAATTAAGTGTTCACCTTAACCTAACTAATTTGCATCCCTGAAGAATTTTCCAATTCTCATTCCTGCAGGGCACCTCATAATGAAAATGAAGCTCTAGTGAGGGCAGACTATTGAGATTTGCAGATTATTTTATTATCCTATGCTAACACAAACATCCTTTATGATGCAAAAGCATTTTTATAGTTTCTGATCTTTTCTGATTGCAGGCTCTTGCTTTTCAGTTTGTATTCTATGATGTGCCAAGCACCTCAAGGAGCACAGTGCTCTGTGAAGTCAAGTGCAAAGAATCTCAATCTTAGAGAATACAGAATGAAACACTCCAAAATTTCCTGAGTAAGAACCTTTGGTGCTTTTAAGAACTCTGCTTGAAAATGAATTAATTCTGGTACTTTCCATTTCTCCTTTAGTGTGGAAAGATGTGCCTGTCAAGGGAAATAACTACCATGACTTTCAGTGGTTGGTTAAAATCTTGTCTGTGAGTCCTTCTGGCTATGTGTGTATGTTTTCATATTGTTAGAGCATTGGCAGTTGCAGTTTTTCTGTAAGTTTGTTGTGGAAGAACCAAGAAAGAAAGATTCAGATTTCTAGAGAAATGATGATTCCATGAAAGATTTTGAGGAGATGAGGAAGGCTGGTATTTTTCAGAGTACAAAGTGATCTTGAAACAAAAGATTTCTTTGGCTTGTCATGGAAATTTGTCAGTGACTTGTGTTTTTTATGTTATGAAATAAACATTTGGGCTAAGGAATAATTTTTGTTAAATAAACACATACAGTGGGTAAAAAAAGAAAAGTTTTGCTCTATTAACTAAAGATTCTATATTTATTTCATTCCTAGGCATCTACTCAAAAGAACTAAAAAACATATCCACATAAAAATGTGTACTCAAATGTTCACAGCACCACTATTATTAATAGCCTTAAAGTAGAAGCAACCCATGATGAGTGGGTAAAGATACAATAGAATATTATTCAGCCTTTAAAAGGAATAATGTTGTGATACATGGTAAATACACAGATGAACCTTAAAAATGTTGTGTTACAGTGGGTTAAAGCACAGCACTATGACGCTAGAAGCAACCACTTCACGAGTTTGATCCCCGGCCAGGGAGGTATCCCACATGGCGTGGCAGACCTCTCGTAGTCCACCCGCTGCTCCCCACAGCAGTGTACTTTGTTGATCTGTCTGTTCTGCACCCTGCTCTGTCTCTGGTGAATCCTCTCACCATCCCTGCACCTCTGGCCTGTTCCCCAGTTCTGTATAAATAAATAAATCTTTAAAAAAAATGTTACAATGATTATTGAGATAAGAAATTTCCAATTATAGTCTAACCTATAGATATATTTGTATAATAAATGTTAATTCCCTTCTCCTTATAGCTATATGAATAGATGAATTTTAATTTAATTATCTAAACTATAAAAATACTTTATGTTAATACTTATTTAAGATTTATTTATGCACACAGAACTGGGGTACTGGCCAGTGGTGCAGGGGTGGTAAAAGGATTTACCAGAGACAGAGTGGGGTCCAAAACAGGCAGATCTACAAAATACAGTGCTGAGGGGAACAGTGGGCAGGTCAGGAGTGGTCTGCCACGCCATGTGAACACCGCCAGGGCCAGGGATGGAACTCGTGAAGTAGCTGCATCTAGCGTCGTAGTGCTGTGCTTTAACCCGTTGCACCACCAGGGAGGGCCCATCTTTGTAACATTTTAAGACCAGTGTCATCCCACTTTGTGTATCATTTAGACTTTGACAGTTCACATTAGTTGTTTAGTAAACAGTAGAAACAGCTTCAGTTTTTTTTGGTGGTCAAAAGAGTAGAGAGACAGGGAAATCATTTAGACTAAGAAATGCAAAGAAGTCAGGCAAATGTAATAGTAGAGGAGGAAGTATGAATGTGGAAAGAAGGCGAACTCACTAGTCCCATGAAAGTTTTGAGTCTAAAAAGAAAGGAAGAAAGGCAAAGTGGTAATTAGGTCTGGAATTGGAACTGAAAATTAGAACATCCGGGCTCTCCCTAATGGTGCATGGGTTAATGCACCACATTATGAAGCTCTCCAAAGCCACTGCAGCACAAGTTCGATCCCAGGCTAGGGAGCTGATCCACATGGCACAACAGATCTCTTCAGACCCGCCTGCTGCTACCCTCAGCAGTGTACTTTGTCGATTTGCCTGTCTTGCTCCCCACTCTGTCTCTGTCTGGTGAATCCTCTCAACCACCACACCTCTGGCCTGTACCACAGTTCTGTAAGCATAAATAAATGAATCTTAAAAAAAAGAAAGAAAGAAAATTAGAACACCCAGGTGAAAAAATTCTGTGGGCAAGGGCTACAATAAATGCTCAGGCATGAAAATATTTGGCCATTTACATACTAAAGACCTGGAGGAATGGGAGAAGCTTTACTATTCCAGTGAAGATTGAAGGCTGAAAAGAATGGGTGGGAATAGCCTTGTGTTCAGGTGAGAACCTAGAACCTGGGAAAGCAAATATGCATGTGTAGCCTGAAAATCTAGATTTGGTTTGGATACAGGCTTTACCACTAACTTATATATGTCCTTGGACTTATATATTTCCTTATTTACATAGTAATGGTGTCGAACTAGTAACTAAAAATCTTTCAACTAAAAATCTTTGGTTTTATGTTAACAAAATTTCAAAGGGCAAAGAAATAAAGACTTGGCTTGACTGTAATTTAGTATTTAATGTAGAAGAGCATGTAGCTCATATTCAAACCATCTTTTCCTACTGTTTATTATTTCCAAAGATGGTAACTTCAGAGCGATTCTAGGTGGCACTGCAACAATTTATTTTCCCCAATACTTATCACTGCTCAAGTTTTAAAACTTCACACTGGTTAAAAATGGTACTCTGTCATCTTCAAAACCACATGATATATTGATTTCCTGTGCCTCTCTGAGGACATCAATATTTACACTTTCTTGAAGGTGGAAGTCGATAGCCAACATTATCACCCTCACTTGCCAAGTATCATCTTTGATGATAAAGATGAACAAGTCACTTCCTGAAGTGGCCAGGTGGCAAAAGCCTTATATGGAAGTTGTATGACTGCTGTTCCCCCTCATTAAAATTCTGCTGTTATTTTGCCTGGTTTGCTAACCTCACTTAGCTGAAGCAATCTAGAAGATTTCTGACAGTTTAGGACTAATTTATAATTATGATATAGTTAAGAAGATCCTACATAAAGAAATGCTCAAGCTGACTATATATAAACATACATTAATTTATAGGATTCACTTACCTGTAATTCACTACTAGTAGTAAAAAGATTTAAGTTCCTGTAGGGTAGGGACCTTATCTATTTTGTCATCCACTGAGCCCTTGGCACTGATGTTTGGCATATCTTGAATCCTGAGTAAAACTACTTGCCATCTCAACAGAATTTGAAAACTTAGAACAACAAAAATTATGCTCAGATTATCACTACAGCCAAATATTGAAACAGTTTTTGAACATGGAGTTAAAACTGCAACAAAGCTGTCCTTTCGAGAAATGACTCAACAAACTGCTTCCCACAAAGCAGTACCTTCACCGTCCTTTAGCAAGATGTCAGTGTAGTGTACACAAGTCCATGGTTCTCCATTTCCCCTCACATCTCCTGGAGTTAGAAGCAGTAGGCTTTGGCTTCCACCTTCGGGTTCCTTAGATTCATCTATCTATCGTGAATGGTCTAAATTTGGGTATCAATCTAAGCAAGTCAAATCTATGATGAAATTTATATGTAAATCATTAGCAATCTTGAAAACTGCAATACCAAAGTTTTTTTTTTTTTAAGACTTGTATTAATTTATGCATACAAGCACTGGGATGTAGGCAAGAGGATTCATCAGAGACAGAGTGGGGAGCAGCGGAAGAGACAGAAGAGGTCTGCTGCACCATGAGGGTCAGCTCCCAGGCTAGAGATGGAACTAAGTAGTTGGTGATAGCTGATAGACTTGAGACTTTGACTCCTGTGCCATCCATAATACCAAAGTTTTTTATACTAATTCTTGCAACTGCATTTTTCACTTTCTTTGCAATGTATACATACATGAATCTATTGATTTATTTAAGCCCTAGTCTACAAAGTTTATGAGATGGTTTATTTTTTTTCTCAATTTAAGAGCATAAAGAGTTGTTTGATGCCCTACAATTTTATCATTACCCCTTATGAGTACAGAGAATTAAAAATCTAGATCAAGAATCAACAGCCCATAGACCTCCCTAGTGATTGCAGGGGTTAAAGTTGCAACACTATCAAGCCACTGTGGTCTGAATTTGATCAGCAGCCAGGGAGCTACCTCACGTGGGGCAGCAGTGCTGCTCTCCTGTATCACCACTGTTCCTCTCAGCAGTGTATTTCAGTAGATCCACCTGTCCTACTCCCACTCTATCTTTCGTGAATCCTTTCAT